CTCTTCATCTCTCTTGATTTCCATTCTCATCTCTCTTGATCTCTCTTCATCTCTTCTAGATCTCTTCATCTCTTCTTGATCTCTCTTCATCTCTCTTGATTTCCATTATTCATCTCTCTTGATCTCTCTTCATCTCTTCATCATCTCTTGATCTCTCTTCATCTCTCTAGATCTCTCTTCATCTCTCTTGATCTCTCTTCATCATCTCTCTTTGATTCTCTCTCTCTCTTCTTGATCTCTCTTCATCTCTCTTGATTGTTCATCTCTCTTTTCTCTCTCTTCATCTTCTAGATCTCTCTTCATCTCTTCTGATCTCTCTTCATCTCTCTTGATTTCCATTATTCATCTCTCTTGATCTCTCTTCATCTCTTCTAGATCTCTCTTCATCTCTTCTTGATCTCTCTTCATCTCTCTTGATTTCCATTATTCATCTCTCTTGATCTCTCTTCATCTCTTCTAGATCTCTCTTCATCTCTTCTTGATCTCTCTTCATCTCTCTTGATTTCCATTATTCATCTCTCTTGATCTCTCTTCATCTCTTCTAGATCTCTCTTCATCTCTTCTTGATCTCTCTTCATCTCTCTTGATTTCCATTCTGCATCTCTTCTTGATCTCTCTTCATCTCTTCTAGATCTCTCTTCATCTCTTCTTGATCTCTCTTCATCTCTCTTGATTTCCATTCTGCATCTCTTCTTGATCTCTCTTCATCTCTTCTAGATCTCTCTTCATCTCTTTTTGATCTCTCTTCATCTCTCTTGATTTCCATTCTGCATCTCTTCTTGATCTCTCTTCATCTCTTCTAGATCTCTCTTCATCTCTTCTTGATCTCTCTTCATCTCTCTTGATTTCCATTCTGCATCTCTTCTTGATCTCTCTTCATCTCTTGGTCTGCATTATTCATCTCTTATTGATATCTGTTCATCTGTCTTGATCTGCATGATTCATCTCTTCTTGATCTCTCTTCATCTCTCTTGATCTCTCTTCATCTCTTTTGATCTCTCTTCATCTCTTGATCTGCCTTGTTTATCTCGTCTTGATTCCCTTCTTCATCTCTCTGCATCTCACTTCATATCTTCTTGATCTCTCTTCATCTCTTGATCTGTATTATTCATCTATTATTGATATCTTTTCATCTCTCTTGATCTCTCTTGATCTTCCTTCTTGATCTCTCTTCATCTCTCTTGATCTCCCTTCTTCATCTCTCTTGGTCTCTCATTCTCATCATATCTGCAGCTGAGATTCAGAGCTCACTGCCAAAAGAATCCCGAAAGTTGACAAGTGCTCGGTGGCGCACCATATGCCTGATGTGTCTGCCTCATAACGAATGTGTTCGATGTACACAAGCACACTGGTCAGACGGTTGATGTTGCCACATACCCTGCGTCCCTCCCAAATGATTCCAGACATACAATGGAAATTGTTGAGTAGCAAAGAAATTCACTAAGACATCCTTGGGTTTAAGGAGCTAAGTGTTACATTTGACTCCTCTTCATGTTGAAAGAACAAGCAGTCAGGAACACATTAAAAAAAAAACATAAATTAATATGACACTAGGTCCACACTAATTATCAACAACTGGTACAAAACGTCTGTCAACTATTTTTGGCAAATGGTCACATACATTCATGACATTCGCAAAAGCGGGCTATGCTATGGGATCTCGATGGGTTTATAGGGTGTTGTTTTATGTCTTAGGGCCTTAGGGGTTGAGGCCTTGGGGGATTGTGATCTTTGCCTTGCCCTCTGGCGGGATGTGTCAGAAAAGACAACTCTTTGTGCAAGTTAGGGTTCCCGGTCATGACTGAGGGTCTGGCATATGACACGAAATCATATCAAGATATATAAAGAACAATCAGTGTAGACTGTTTGCTTAGAGACTTACAGTAGAGTCAGTAGAGTATATGTTTCTTCCTATCTACAACCTGTAAACCTGCAAATCAAGGGCATTCATCAATGTGATTCAATATCCTTCTCCTATCCAAGCATCCCCACGAATGCCAGGAAACTTGGCTTCCTGAAATGGTGGTGATCTCTGCAGCAGTTGGACACCCGCCCGCCTGTGGGCACATGGCGAACAAAAATTGCTGCGACTTCACAAATCCAATGGCATTTGGATCATTTGGATTTGGATCTGCCTGGGACCACGCATTGTTTGCATCGAGATAGACACAAAGAGTATCCGCAGCCGGCGATGTTGTTGACATCCTGCCCAGGAGATCCCAGGAGCCATTGTACATATTGTACCAGATTTTGGGCTGGTCCCTTTCCCGGGGCACTGGCGTGCATGGAGCAGCCCAGAATGTCTGGGGTCCATTGCGACACACGACACTTTGCGCATATGTGGCATGCACCTACCTCTCTTCAACTCTGATGCTCTGAAAGAAGGATCATCAGAGTCTGTCTAACTCTTGACTTCTGTTTTTGAATGAACATGGATCCTTTAGGAAATTTTCCCTATAACGGTCTGCGTCGCTAGTTCTGCATTTTGATCAGCGGGCCTGATAAGGATAGGTGTTTGTAGTCCTGTCACTTCCTCGCAGAAAACGAGTGCTGCTGCCAGCAGAGCATGGGTGACTTATCGAAATGCACAGTCTGCATGTCAGATGCCTTGGCAAACTGCAGAGTGCCATGGCTAGACTGCAAGGCTGACATGAAATAATACAAGTTAATCCAAGATCATCCAAGAGTCCAAAGGGCTCAAACTTGTAGATGAAAGCTCCACCAATGAAACCTGGAAGAGCACGGTCTTCAAATCTTTAGAGACGTTGAATGGACTTGACACATGAGTTGGGCAAGCTGCAGCACTAACCGAGCCAAGAAAGCTGTAACAATGATACCGGAAACTTCATATTGTGCTCCCGAAACCGTCACGTTCCTCAGGTGGATTGTTTGAACTCAAGGCAAAGAAGACAAAGACCAAAAGAAAGGCCAAGCCTGGCCCTGGCCCAGTGATACTCATTGTGTTGTTCAAAGATCCAAGGACGAGTGTCTGACCAGGTCTAGCTTCTGAGGGCAGTATGGCGCTGGAAGCGTCACTGCCCCCTTCTGCCACCTTTGTTTGCGCTCATCAGTTCTGGCACTATGAAATGCCAGCACATTCTAGATACATTCCAGCACGGTTTGCAAGATCACCGTAGTAGAATTGATGTCTCTTACACTAGCCTCTGACTCTTCATGACTAACGGTGACTAAGGACTGGGACAAACTCCCCGAACTTGTAGCAATATGGACAGCTGCTGATGGTGCTGGCCACTGCTACTGCTACTGCTCAGAACCATCAGCAGCCAGCTCTGCCGTTGACAGATATGGTATGTGTGCCAAGCGAATGAAAGTCTGCGACTGAAATTCCACTGAGGCTGTGGCAATGAGAGCGGGATTTGGGGTCAGAAAAAGCCTTAGTCGGTGAGCGTTAGGGTACAGGGTACCACAGGATACACTGAGCCTTCACAGATCAATGCAAATGTCGCTGCCATTCTCTTCACATCTCTTCACATTCAATGAGAAACGACTGAGTCATTCCAAGTCCAAGGAGTCCAAGGAGTCCAAGGAGCTCAGCAGGTGTCACCACCAGTTCTTTGACGCTGCCCGGGAAAGTGGCCGACTGGTCAGCCGCCCATCCAACAGTAGGAATGCCAATCATTTCCATGGCCAAATTATATTGCGAGCCGGAGAATGGAACGTCAACCTGCAACTGCATAGATCTGCATAGTCGGCACATTCCCAGAAAGTGCAACCCAAACTGAGGTGTGAAGTCCATACTGATGAAAGCAACGCAAAGAACAGACAATAGCTCACCATGTTGTCAAAATGTTGTCATATCCATTACATGTCAAATAATATCAAATGCAATGCGCGTCAAGTCGCAAAGGCAGTGCGGTCTGCTGCCATAGATGCAAGCACTGAAGCAGTGACGGAAGGGTTCACAGCACCCATCACCTCAGCTTGTGTGCCCTCCATAGCAGTCGCAGACCACATGTGGAGACCAACAAGCCACGGCCATGCGGTCATTCAACTGACAGAGAGACAAACACAAAACCAGAATGCCGCAGTTCTTAGAGCTTGAATGGAACCAACATGATTTTAAATGAATATAGGTGATACATTATAATATAGTATAATATAATATAGTGTTACAATGTGATGTATGTGGCATACTACCTCAGACTGAAACGCTTCTCTGCCTAGTTTTTGTTCCTCTAAATAATTCTATCTACATGCCGCTCTTCATGACATCACGAAATCAGCGGGACTGAGATGCGACCAGCAACGTCCGAACCAGGGACAGAAAGTAAGACAACACAAATAACACCCCTGACTCCACGGACAGCACCCGAAGAATTCAAGACCTGAAATCATCCCGCCTTTGGGCTAAGAAAAACACAAAGTTGTATAATGTTGTATATAGTTGCCACATGTTGCCACACTGTTGTCACAGTTGTCCCTGGACCACACCCTTCATCTCAAAAAATAGAAGACCAGCAATGCTTTTTGATGCAAACAAATGTTCCAAGTGGCTAACTCATCTGGTGAAGAAGCTGAGGCTGCTTCAGTCGTCCCTGTATTGGCTGGGGTTGTCGTATTTGTCGCTAGATTTGGGGTCGTAGTGCTGGTGGTGCTGGTGGTGCTAGTGGTGGTGCTGGCGACACTCTGGATCCACGGCTCCCAAACCTTGGTCCATGCCAATTCCATGCCTGTCTTTCTGTCGGATTGTTTACAGGCCCAAATTCTCTGCGACTTGGCCTGCTGACCTCAAAAAAAACACTCGTGTGAAACCTATAAACGCTTGATATACGCTTGATACAACAGCGAGAAATGGTTATATAATTGTGGAATATTGTAGAGACTTGGGATCCGTAAACAATGAACCACAGAAAATGTTCAGCAACAGGGAACGTATTGCTCTCCGACCAATGAGGCAAACTACACTCACACACCACATTGTGAAGATGTGGAAGCAAGATGAAGAAGGTATGGCAGTATACAATCAAATCTCAAGATAGTCAAGCAACCTCCGGCCAATTATTCAACCAATTGCAAGCTCCAGATCGAAAAGAGCCCAAAGCCTCTGAATCCGCCAGAAGTGTCTCCACATGTGCTGCAGTGAGATCAAAGGCAACGATGAATGCATCAACCTCTGGCGCCAGGGTTATGAGGTCCTGACTCAAGAGCTTTTGCACCGAAACGTCCGTTGAAGCTGTGGAAAAATTTCCATTTGCCCAGGCAGCGCTGTTATGGGCTGGAAAGATGACTTCCACGGGCGAGACCAGGCCAACCTGTGAATCTGGTGTGTAGCGGAAAAACATGCTTCGGCTGGTCGCAAGCACCTCCTCAAAGCTGGCCTCATCGTAGGCCACACTAATGGCCCAGGGAATATTCCAGACGGCAGCCTGCGGTTCGGGAAGAAGGAAAGCTACAATACAAGGTATAAGATGGTATATGATATGGCTATTATCTGCAAAGTGCCCTGCCAATTTTCCGACATCTTCAACCCATGCATTTGTACAGTTTATGGAGGCTGAATCAAATAAGAAACTCCACATTAAGATCTTTAAGGGGAGAAATACAACACATGAGGAACAAAAAAGAGGGCAGAACGGACGGCCTTCTGCATCACCTCCAACACGTCGACTGCGCGATGATACGAGTTGAAAAAGTAGGGGATGCATTGAGAACTGTTGGAACGACAGCTTGGCGCCAGCCAGAAGTATCCATCAGCAGGGCAAAAGGCGATAAATCCACCGTTGCCCAAAGTTACACCGCTGCTGTCGGAGACGATGTCCAAGTAGCTCCGGATCATGGTCGTATTCGCCAGCTGCGTGTTGGTACATTGCTTCAAATAGAATCTATCTACAGAGCTGATGGTGTCGAAGGAGAGGAATTGCAGATCCATGTAACGAATGGTACCTGATGTTGAGACCGAGTTCTTGAGAAAGTGTCCTCTTCGTCCAACATAGGACATGGCACCAGCATCCACAAAATCCAAAGTAGGCAGAGTCGTGGTTGCTTGAAAAGGTTGCCGCACATCAAGGGCAATGTGCCAACTTGTGGGGATCGTCCCTGCCGCTGCACCGCAAGAGGATTCATCACCTGGATCTAGACAACCAGCAACTGCTCGGTAGGCCTCCTGTGGTCCTCCTGAAGCTGCTGCGAGACACAAGGACTTGCAAAAATGATCAAAATTGATTTGATTGGTATGTATATATATATGTATAGAGAGAGAGAGAGGGGGGTTCTATGTATATATATATATATGTATATACATATATATATAATTATATATAGAGGTTCTATTATTTTTCAATATTGTCTTATGATGTCTTTTGTGATCGCTGAATATTGCTGGTGTTTGCTGGTTGTGCCATGACGGAGCAACTTCAGAAGCTTGAGACTTGCCACAGAAGGCCTGGGAGTTTCTGCTGGGAAGTTTTGGAAGTTGTACACTCAAATTCACCGAAACAAGAGATAGGATCGATGGAATCTCCACAAATAAGAATGGCAGGCACGGCATGAATATCATGAATGATAGTCTTCATATGTCTTCATCGTTCCTTGGTGCCCCTGTCCTCCACTGCTGCGGTTGATGGTGTGATAGCCGAAGACTTCTTCTATCAGAATACTGGCCACAGCAGTGGAGACGTGCCCTGCGTCCAAATCATTCATCCAAAGACCTCGACTAGAAATGCACAAGGATCGACAAATGATCGACAAGGGAGCAAAACGGAGCAAACTTGTTTTGATCAACCTGCAGGCTGAGCAAACAAACGCTCTGGCAGACTTGTGATAGAATATCAAGTTCAGCTGTAGTGAACTACAAGTACGGAGTTCGCTGGTAGGGACCCTGCCAACCGCATAGGACAACTGGCTGTTCGAGTTTGTCAGATTCCTGGCCGCATCAAAATCATCAAACCGCTGAAACAAAAGAATTCATCAAGTGTGCAGCCCTGTGCAGCTGACATTCCAAGAGAACAAAAATGAAGAAAACTTAAAAGGCATCACAAGTTGTGTTACAAGGCAATCACAAGGCAAGCTTCTTTCGTAATGATCCTTGCACTCCATCCCACAGGCAGCATGTCGTGCAAATGCTGCTCTGAGAAACTACTTTTTGAAGCAGGGCAAAGCTTGCGAGGGTCAGCACGATGTTCATTGCGCCAATGTTTCGCACCCGAACGCGAGGACCAAAGATCGGTACTGAATATGCCGGCAAATGTTTCACGGCCTTGCTGTCTTGTAATTCCTTGAGCTATGCCCTACCACCACTAGATCTCCCATGGTTTGTCACTCTCATGCAACTGATGGCTGGTTCCATTGGCAACCCTTTGGAACTTCTTTCAAACGCATGTTGCACTTGATTGCTCTGCATGTGTTTGTGTGCGTGTATGAGGTGGAAACTGCCTTTCATGGTTGCTATTTGCATGTCAGCATGTGTGCTTGATGTTCAGTTCTGGCGGGAGGCCGTGATACCAAATGAGACTTTCAATTGCATACTTCTATCGTCATGGCTGAATGAAACTTACTAGTAGATCTAGTAATCTAGTAGAAACCAAACAACAACCTGCAATCAAAATTTGAACGTTCTCTGTAATGCTTCGTATGAAAAGGGAGCTGGTACTTCACTTCAAGACCCTGCGAACGTCACACATGCAACAATTGACCGCCTACGCTCCAAGAATCAAACTCTGGCCAGGCGCTCTGCTTTCGTTCGCCTGGGGTGGCAACTCTTTCGCCATACTGGGCAAACACGTGATTTAACAATATGTTTAATAAAACACGTACACACACACACAAAGATGCATCGTCCATCGTGGCCGATGTAAATCACTGCAAGTGGAACGGGTAGAGCTTAACTTGCAAATTGCGATCAGTACTGAAGGTCACTGAAGGTCACTGAAGGTCGTGTTTCTGCAAGTCTGAGGGTCGATCGCACGTTTTGGAGTGGCACTGAGCATATCTGCAGAAACTTGATCTGGCAATCGGCCTCCAATGAAATGCGGCATGAAACACGTGCCCAGGACGTCAAACACATGTTGACGGGTCCTATCTTTCCATGATTTCAAGTTTGTTAGTGAAAAAAAAGAATGACCCTGCACAATAAGAAGAGCTCTTGTGTTTCCTGTGTTTCCTCTTGCGTTTTTATTGACAGCTGAAAACCATAGCGATGCAGTACCTGTGAGTCCACGTTCATCTTCCTCTGCATCTGACTCACCTGGATCTCACTGCATCTCTGCCAATTTTGTATATGGAGTCCTCGAACAACATCAAACAACAACGGAAGCATACTATTGCTGACCAAGTTGCTGCTAGAGCCAGATGAAGAGCTGATGTCCTGTGGCGCTGTACGAAGTCCAAATTGTATCCACGTGTTACATTATTGGGTGTGAGGGTCACCTTCTGTGCATCCAAGTGGGTGTGTGCATTCCTCTTGTGGTCACACATGCTGCTTTTCGAAACAACTCATGGATTGCTCTTGCAAATACTAGCAACATCTGGCAACATCTGGCAACATCTGGCAACATCTGGCAACACCCGAGATAAGTATATAGAAATAGTTAATAATTATTAATATAATTATTAATATAATTTAATGTATATATATATTGTATAGAAATCAACTCACTTTAGGACATCAGCCGCACCTCAGCAGGACGCTTTCTGCCCATCTGCATCCTGTTGCTTCAGGGATCATAGGATCCCTAATGGCATGAAGATCGTGACAATCGCCTTTTGTTGTGGTTCATTGTTTGCGATTGTTTATGTATTTCTCTGTTCAACTTGCTGTTGGGGGGTCCCGTGGGTGTGATGATGGATATTCAATCATCTTATCATATCTGATGAAAGCCAGATTATCTGCTAGATGGGACCAAATGCAGATTGATGTTGATCATGTCAAAATGCTTATCGATTCTTGTTGCAGCTAGGTTGCTCAATGGACTTCTGCAGTCTGAGTTTGCGGAGCTGCTTGAAGTCTTCCGGGCTCAACACCTGGAAAAAAAGCAAGCGTCGACGCAAGATGCAGGCACAGGGCATCAGCAAAAAGGAAACAAGGTGAGAAGTGGGAATCAGCTGGAGATTCATGAGGAAGTGCGCGTAGTCCAAAATGCGAAACAGCATGAAACATATATATATAATTAATATATATATATATATATAATTAATTAAATATTAATTATCCTAAATGTGTGAAAAATACGAAGGAAAGTGAAGTGAGCAGGTAAGCCCCACAGCTCATGAAACTGATGCAGGCGCCAAGGACGACCCCTCTGTGCATTCAAGAAAAAAGATGAAAAATCATGAAAAATCATGGCTGGCTGAGATAAAGACCATCCACCATACTGCTTACTGAGGCTTTACTGCAGCATCATATCTTAACGTCTTATCATATCTTATCTGACCTCGGCCTGGTAGCTCCAAGACACCGCACACAGATCAATGGTCTAGTCAGTGGCACTAAAATCACTAACATGAAAGTAAGCAAGATTGATTAAGATTAAGATGAACACACTAGATGTACATACGTAGATGATCGTAGATGTACTACATGTACCATAACATATCATAGCATATCCTTATGAAGAAGAAGCATTCAATAGAATTTTACAGTCAAACGGCCAATACTTTCAACGAAGCTGCACGTGCTCTTCAGATTTTGCTTGCGTGGGATTGACCAATTCTGAAACTTCATGGAAGTTTTCATGCATCTTCTGCTGTGCGATCCTTAACGTGGCCGCACCCAGGACAATCTGAGTTCTGCACTTTCTCGCTCATCAAATCCATCCTGAATAATCTGAATGATCTGAATGATCTGAATGTGGATTGCTCGCTGAGTTGTCAGGGCTGATTGTTTGGTGCCGTTTCTGGCTGTTGAGCTGAGGCTGCAGCCCGTCGCCCACCTCCAAATCTCATTTGTTGAAAGGACTATGGCACCAAAGCAAGAGCACTTCTGCTCAATATCATGATGCTGCATAGGGGCAGAAGGGTTTGTTCGAAGCATTGAGTTCTTGGCAGCGAAGCTCAAAATTCAAGCCTCCTTTTCGTGCTTGCCCTTCTTGGCTGCTAACAGCTCCAAACCCTCGATCTTTTCAGAGGCCTGGAAGTTCAGACTTGGCAAAATGACATGCCTGGAATGTCTGGTTGGTCGTGGCCCCCTCAGAGTAACATGATACGACCTGCCACCTGCCTGCATCTCACCGAACTGTGGAGCCTGCACTTCTCCACGACCTTTCCAGATGCGTTCCACTGCCCCATATTGCCACTTCACTTGGATCTTCCCACATCTTCTCATGCATCTTAGATTTACGTAGATTTATGGGGAAGGTGTGGGGGTTCTGTTTTATCATCCAGAATCTAGCCTAATATCATTTAATATCATCTAATGTCCAGATCTATCCTCATTTTTATCCTCAACCATAATAGTTATCATATAGTTATCATAACATCCTTGTGACATTAGAATCTTCACCGAGGCTCCGGGCTTACGGCCACCGTGGCCTCGCGGCCGCGCAAGGACCGGTGCAGCAGCTGTGGATGAAGCCTCGGTGGCGGATTCCCGTCACGGTTTGGACCAATGGAAGGACCAATGGCATAAAAAATGGCATCCAAACTCTTCAAAGTTCCATTTGTGTCGAAAAATATGTCCAAATATGTCCGAATAAATCTACTCTAAGCTACTTAGCTACTTTAAAATCCTCTGGAACTCAGCTGGAATCCGCAGCGCTAGAGGAACAGTTCAGCCAGATTGAGCTTCAGCCGGTGATGGGCTGGGTATCAAGCTCTCGGTAGGTGTTGATCAGACTGCGAACCTGCGGAGCTGGACCCACTGGACCCTCACATCTCAACGTTGCGAATCACTTGGTCATTGAGTTGTTCATCTTGACAGACTGAGGGGCAAGCTGCCATGGAGACACCTTCGTAGAACATATTCCCAACCCCAATATGTGGCGAACAATATGTGGCGAACACGAAGACAGAAAGACCCCAGGAACAGTTGATTGCAAGTCCAGTGATTGTGGCAAGAACAACCATTGCAATGACACTGGCCTTTGTTCTTGTGCTTCCGAAAGCCACAAAGATCTGTAAGCCTCCATTCACTCGAGGATTAGTCTATAGAGTACCGAAGACTTGATGCCAGTGAAGTTTGACCACATGGCATAGCATACCACGACGCCTGAGAAAACAGCCTGAGGCCATGACTCCTCTTCTGTAAGAATATTGATGGACCTTGTGGCGTCGACCGCGTCACATTTATCTGCATCGCATCACTGCAAGGCGGTCAGCCTGGCACAGACTTCTCGAATGGTGTTTAAGCCTCAGCTCATCAATTTCAGATGCAATGCTTGGAGAAGCAGGCTATCTGAGCTATCTGAGCTATCTGAGCTATGTCTTGTCATGATTTGTGATGTGGAAATTCTATGGTCCAAACCAATTTCGATCACCTCTGGTGACTGGGCCTCTGTCACAAAGTATCTGACCTTGAGTAGCAGCTCTCTTCAACTTGAACAACTTCAGCATATTTCAGCATAATCATCTGCAAGCCCTCGGTTGTCTGGACATCTGAATGTAAATATTGTGCCAGCCGAGCTACTATGTGAAGAACCACCGGCCGCACCTCTTCCTGAAGAGTCAGCCCACCAGGGGAACCATTCGAAACCAAACATGCTGGGCACATCCAGCAGCATCGAGCAGCGTGTCAAATCAGGCCAGTGAAGCTGGCGGGACAGCAGGATGTGATGCCTGGCGGCAAAGTCGTTCTTCTGTTGATTATATTATCTATATATATATATATGTATTGATATTATGAATATATATATAATACATATATTATATATATAATATTATATAATCTGCTGGATGTTGATTCAGTGAATGTGCATAGTGTCAAGAACAGATTCTAGAGCACAAAACCATACAAAGAGAATCATAGACAGAGAGAGAGAGAGGAAAAAGGAGAATCCTATAGAATCACTATCATTTCTTGCCAACTGATCTCTTGCGATGCCTCAACTAGTGCTGCCATCACTTTGGTCACCTCTTTTTGTGTTGGAACCTCAGTGCCACTGTCGCAGCATGTTGCACTCCCTACAAACCGTCTTCATCTTTAAAGTACTTGTGTAGCAGCCCAGTCTTGAGCACGGCTGTTTAGGTTGTGATCTTCCGAGCAAAGTACAGCATGAAAATGATGATGGTAGCCATCAACTTCAACAAATCAATCGTCATGCTGCCACAGAGGACCTCTATATGTTGACTCTTGTGAATATGGATCAGTGACTAAGTCAGCGCTGGTTTGCATCATATCAGGGTTGCGCGACTGCTGCGGCTTAAGTTCAACCGCCATTCTGAGCCCATCACCAAGTATTTTTGCAAGAACCTCAGATGTTGTTCTGGTTCTATGAACAACAAGATACAACAAGAAAAAGTGGAATCTGCAATCCGTTGAGCTCTCCTGGTGCTGGATATGTTCCTGCTGAGTGACGGATAAAGATTCAGAACCTGTAGCTGGTGCCTTCCAATGAGCCTGCCAGCTGACATGCAGTGACCCACTGAAGCCAACTTTGAATGTCAACGCAAGCTATAAATCACAGATGGAATACGGATGAATACGGGAAATAGCCATCCATTCACTTACCTATTCTAGCCACCCACCCCAGCCCCCCGACCATCCACTAATCCACCCACTTAATCCATCTTACATCGCGCAACATCTGCAGGTATGGTATATGGTATGGCATGGTACTGTATGTCATATCACATGTTGTCCAATCCATGTTGGCACGTGCATCTGTCTTTCAGTCTGTAGATTGGTCTGTCTGAATATACTGTAGATTGAAATGTTGTCACATTGTGCATAGATATCTGAGATATGCATGGACATAGATGATGCTTTTATATGCTTTTCTAGATCGCAACATCCACCTGCCTTGCTACCAAGTGAAGCATCAGCAAACGGAAGAGGAAAGGTTCTCCTCCCTGGCGAAACCACTGGGAATTCACTGACCACTGAGCGCAGCATAGCGCAGCATAGCTGCAGCAGCCTTGCTCAATCTTTGCAGCAACCTCTCGGCCAAAGTCTGCGGATCATTCAGCAGGTCCTTACATCAAAGTCCAGGGCAAATGTGGATCGAGAGCATTCCAAGTTGTCATCTGAAGATGTATATATATATATCCGCCGACCCTGGCCTTCGCCAAGGCCGGGGCGGCGCCTGGGACCACCGGAGGTGTGGATCCTGTCTTTCTTGAACCTTTGCCACGCCGTGGATCCTGTCTTTCTTGCACCTTTGCCACGCCCACACTGCAGGCAAACGCCATCACAAGGCCACAGCAATGGCTCAAGAGCACCCCACGGCCGCAGCAATGGCTTTTTTTTATAGGCGTTCAAGGCTGCCTGCTGTTCCAGCGTTGCAGCCTGCCGTTTGCGTGCATAGCGCTCTGTCGTTAGGGCGTCCATGCCTCGGGCACGCCCGCAGGCAAAAGCCACCACAAGGCCACAGCAATGGCTCAAGGCATCCCCCCGGCCGCAGCAATGGCTTCTTATAGGCGTTCAAGGGCCGTTTGACAGGCTTCAAACCCTTAAAAATGCTTCGCCGGCCGTTTGCCTGCATAGCGCTCTGTCGTTAGGGCGTCCATGCCTCGGGCACGCCCGCAGGCAAAAGCCACCACAAGGCCACAGCAATGGCTCAAGGCATCCCCCCGGCCGCAGCAATGGCTTGTTATAGGCGTTCAAGGCTGCCGTTTGACAGGCTTCAAACGCTTAAAACCCCTAAAATGCCTCGCCGGCCGTTTGCCTGCATAGCGCTCTGTCGTTAGGGCGTCCATGCCTCGGCATGCCTCGGGCACGCCCGCAGGCAAAAGCCACCACAAGGCCACAGCAATGGCTCAAGGCATCCCCCCGGCCGCAGCAATGGCTTCTTATAGGCGTTCAAGGCTGCCGTTTGACAGGCTTCAAACGCTCTAAAATGCCTCGCCGGCCGTTTGCCTGCATAGCGCTCTGTCGTTAGGGCGTCCATGCCTCGGGCACGCCCGCAGGCAAAAGCCACCACAAGGCCACAGCAATGGCTCAAGGCATCCCCCCCCGCCGCAGCAATGGCTTCTTATAGGCGTTCAAGGCTGCCGTTTGACAGGCTTCAAACGCTTAAAATGCCTCGCCGGCCGTTTGCCTGCATAGCGCTCTGTCGTTAGGGCGTCCATGCCTCGGGCACGCCCGCAGGCAAAAGCCACCACAAGGCCACAGCAATGGCTCAAGGCATCCCCCCGGCCGCAGCAATGGCTTCTTATAGGCGTTCAAGGCTGCCGTTTGACAGGCTTCAAACGCTTAAAATGCCTCGCCGGCCGTTTGCCTGCATAGCGCTCTGTCGTTCGGGCGTCCATGCCTCGGGCACGCCCGCAGGCAAAAGCCACCACAAGGCCACAGCAATGGCTCAAGGCATCCCCCCGGCCGCAGCAATGGCTTCTTATAGGCGTTCAAGGCTGCCGTTTGACAGGCTTCAAACGCTTAAAATGCCTCGCCGGCCGTTGCCTGCATAGCGCTCTGTCGTTTCGGGCGTCCATGCCTCGGGCACGCCCGCAGGCAAAAGCCACCACAAGGCCACAGCAATGGCTCAAGGCAACCCCCCGGCCGCAGCAATGGCTTCTTATAGGCGTTCAAGGCTGCCGTTTGACAGGCTTCAAACGCTTAAAATGCCTCGCCGGCCGTTTGCCTGCATAGCGCTCTGTCGTTCGGGCGTCCATGCCTCGGGCACGCCCGCAGGCAAAAGCCACCACAAGGCCACAGCAATGGCTCAAGGCATCCCCCCGGCCGCAGCAAGTGTGAACTCATGATATATTATCTATCCATAACATTCAACATATTGAAAAAAAAACATAATTATGAAATACTACAAGTGAGTGGAACCATCCAAGATCAATGTGTTCGACTTTGCTTCCGTCCTCAACTTGACGATAACTGTTTCTGCGGCATCGCGGCCGAAGCGATTTTATCAGTGCTTTGGAAAGGGGCCATGGTGAAAGTCA